AAATAATATACAAAAGAAAAAAAATATAGGTGCCTATATATGTTATTAACGATATTACATATTTAAGTACTCGACATATCGATTATAATGTACGATTTGTGTTTTTTTTTTTTTTTTTTTTTGCGCAACTACAACACGCGCTCACACCGCTCCGCTGAGTGCTGCTGCTGCAGACCTCGGGAAATGTGGTGCAAAGTGAATGGGTCAACCGCATTATATAAATACAATGGCGTGCACATATGTATACACGTCAAGTTCGAGGCTGTACGCATTAACGACTCTCCTCGACCGACCGTTCTCTACCGAGACACTTCATTAAAACGCCATCAATCAGACGCGGGCGCGTGGTGGACTGCTATATAGCTGCCACAACCGTGTATTATGCGTGCGCTCGGAGACCTCTGCGGAGGTTGCGCGTTTTGCGCCAGCCACAGCCACAGTCGTAATAAAAACGCATATTTTTGTCTTGCACAACAGTGGTAAACGCATTCGTATTATATTATATTTATATTATATGGGCACACGCGTAACATACATAATAATGCGGAGAAAAATGAATAAATAATCGACTCCGCACTATATAGTTGTGCATACATATAGGTACCGCCATATAAGTATACGCGTCGTATATACAGAATGGTCCACCGCGACTTAGCGTTTTATTATGACCACGCGTTATAGTCAAACGAGAAAACGCGGACGACACGACGGGCCTGCACTTTGCATACACGATTTAACGAAAACACGTTAAAATAATAAAATATTATATAAATATTAATATACATTATATTATATTATACATGTACAAGACGTGGATTCGTATGTTCGTATTTTTCCGTCGTCGAATTTATGCAAAGGACACGCGCAACGATTTCCGAGTGTTGAGGAAAAACGAGTTATCGTCCTCCACTAAATTATCTTGTAATACGCGCCTCTTGAAGATGGTTGTGCGCAAAAAAAAATATATTACGCTACGACTCTGACCAACAGCTGTCGTAAAATATGCTTCTTTCGCACCCCTGTTCAAAGAACAGCTATTGTTCGACAACGCGCGTATTTATGTAGCAGCGGTATTGTAAAATTACAGCGGTGCGTCGTAGGAAAATTATTATGCTAGATAAATTATGTTCTGTGCCAAGTCCTTATACTATATACCGACACCGTCGCATACTATAATGTAATATCCATTCGAACGTATTTCTCAGCGGGACCGATAGATTTATCGACTAGAACAAGTACACGAGTTTCTTGTACACATATATAAATATATAAATATATATATTTGTGTTATGTGCGCGGTACAAGATAATATGTTTTTATTCTTAATCAAACAGAATTATATTATTAACTCATATACATTATACCTACCTGTTGTATAGCATCGAACAAAAAGTAAAGCAAACATAATAAATAAAACCACAACGTTTATGTAATTATACACTGATAATGACGAAAGATATCGTAATAACTGCGCGTTGTTCAGTATAATATGTTTATTATAATATTGTAATATGTATGTTTATTTTATTAGATACAATATGTAATGTGTACGAGTATTTTATGTCCGTTATTACAAATTTTATAATTCATATTCATTTGCATTTTCCAACAATTTCGACGACAAATTATCACGATAATATCGTATTTTTATACCCGAATAGAATAGTGTGAATAATAATGACTGTTGTCTTATGTTTTACTATTTGTATTCACTGCACTTGTTACACGCGTCTTTTTCTTACTATATTCTGATTTATTTGTTGAGTTTATATTTAATAAAATACGTAGGTATTAGACGCATTCGAGTCAACATAATACTAGGTAACCAAAGTCATTTGACACGTTTCGTTAATCGAAACATTTATTAAAACGATAATCGGTAACCACCTATGATTAGGTGGTTTAATCGTGATCTAGTAGTATAATAATATGATATATTATACGAAATAATTGTTTTTTTCTATTGAGTTGACGCATGTCCATGCAAGTGGGTGTCCAGTTCGAGAGATGCCTAAAAAATTATTACTATACATCTGAAAACACAACACACTTCGTATTCTTATTTCACAATGCTGAGCGGAAGGTCTGCTTGCATAACATTGCAGCAGTAGTAGTAGTAGACCAGATGGTCCGGAAATATACAGTTGGATATATTATTATATTATGATATGTCTAATTAACGTTGATTTGCGGTAAGTTATAAATGAAGTAGTGCCGCGGATCATAATACGTTATGGAAAAGCAGAAAAAATGGCACGGAACTCGTCAAACTATTTAAATATCTATAATAAAATTTCGGTTATGATGCAGACTGAATATGTTATAATATATATTATAAATTTATACATAATATAGGTGAAAAATCATCATGACAACAAATTAAAGCGAATGGTTTATGGTCTTGTATCTGCGAATACGCTATAAGTACGCACGTTATTATTACATACGCATACAATGATGGGTAATATATGTTGTCACACGTCGATAGTTTTAAATAATAACGTGCTAATTTATATTTACACCATTTCAACGGTGAACCTATAATATAATATTGTGTTTTTTACATCTACAGGACTAGCTTGGTTCACACCATTCACCATTACGCATCAATTGTACAATATAAACCTACTTGTGTTTCAAACCGATTGATGTACTTATTCTGAAGCAGAATTTTTTTCAAAGTATTAAGCTATTATATAAACTACTCATAGATATTGAATTTTGAACGATTATTCTGAATTAGTTACAAATGTTTAATGTTTGGAAGAGTGCAGGAGTGAATGAGTGTAGAACATCATTTTGCGGGGTAGCCTTGCGTGTCACTTTAATACACTATCGTCTCATCTTAATCTTAAATTAAGCTTTGGTAATAACATTGAATTATGTAAAAATAATTGTTTTCAAAAAATTAAATACTTTTAAAATTAAGGAGTGTAAACTCTTAAATGGATCAAATCTTTCTATGCAAATGATACATTTAAGAGTTAATAAGAGAACATCTTTCCGCTTGTGTTGTCTCCATATTATACTAAAAGTGCATAGTACATAGCAATAACATTTACTTAAATGGTACAGCAGTTTTCATATAGAGCTTCGTTGATTTTAATACAAGAGTATATGGAGTAATTTATCTATTGTCAAATTTGAATTTAATAACATATTAGATGGTTTGTTGAAAGTGTTTTTTTTTCAATGTTTTAATTTTGAAGAAAATTATTAGCATTTCTTAAATTGTAATAATTTATACAAACTTCAAAATTAAAAACATCGAAACAAAATTTCCAGCAAACCACAGAATGCGTTATTATTAGCTTTGAGTTTGAAAGTAAAATTTTAACACTAAAACTAACAAAGCTAATTAATTAATCAAAATTGTCAAATGTAAATTTGTAATATTCTATGCACTGGTAAGACGAAGATATAATAACGCATGCGGATGAGCGATGCTCCCTCTTAAGATAATATATATATGTATCGATTTTGACGGAAAAGAAAAAAAACTTTTTAAATTTGGTGGAAACGATGCATTCCTAGAACAATTCGTATTTAGATAAATAATATTATGGTAATTAATAATAACTCTGAATTTTTTATTATTATAATATTATATATACCTTGGTGTTATGTTGTTATATATATATATGTGTTATATATACGAGACGTCCACGCGTGATTAATAGAAAGGGAAAAAAATTAAATAAAAAGATTTGAAATATAATACGCGTACCCTCGTTGCAAGATTGCCGAAATACCACGTTGTATTTACGACCATGTGTCTCGATTTTCCTGCCGTTGCCATAAACATATCCGGAGCCCATTAAGACACAGCCCACGCTCGCCACGATCCGGTCGTCGTAGTCGTCATCAGGTGTGTGTATGTGTATGTGTGTGTATACGTAGATATTGGAAACCTATGCGTTGCCAAAAACCATTTCCGTGTTTTTCTATTTTAACACGTACAGCGCGTATACCTTTATGTATATTATTGTACTTATACATATACGTTCGGTTTCGGTTTATATCACCACATAGACCTATAAAAACCGAACGTAACAAAACCAGTAGATAAACTTGTATATATATACACCTCGATAGTCGAGAGAGTGGTTATTATTGTGTGTGTGTGTATGCGCGCGTGTGTGTTTATAACATATATATATATATATATATAAATATATACATATATATACATATGCATACAGAGAGATTATATACTATACTATACACATAACAAATAACATTCGTACATTATAATACTTCTATATTATACATAATATATAAATATATATATATATACACCTGTAATAAACGAAAGACGATGTTTAATTTGATTATTTGTTCAATGAGTTATTATATTATATATCATTGTATTATTCAACGCAGAGACTTTAACGCCAGTAACGCCGCTCGAACGTATATGCATATAAAATATATACGTAATATAATATCGTTTTTTTTTTTTTTTTTTCGTAAACGGATTGGAATATCATATGGTTAATGACCAATAACAATCAAAAAAGTTTTATTATTATTAAGTGATTTTTATCTCGACATTAATACTATACATAATAGCTGCGTATATACTCATTATATATATATACCTATATACTATATTGTAGTATTATATAGTTACATACCATTTTATTAAACACTATTACTATCACATAAAACTAAATATAGCTCTGGGTTCTAGAAACAGTGGATCACATTTAATAACGTTACGTTTCCAAACATTTATTGTTGTTTATTGTCATATAGGTATAGGTACCACGCGTATAGAGTTAATATGTAGGATCATCATTATATCTACTGACTGATTTTAAAATTTTTACAGTTATAATATAAGCTATAATAGTTATTATAGATAATAATATTATTTTTATCATATTGAATATTTTGTAGCTATTAACATACACAGTTATTTAATGCACAGTCCACCATGATGTTAATGCCGTATTATATTTGGATGTTTTTGATAATAATAATTTTTATTTTTTCAGACTCCCGACTTCGATTCGATGTTACAAGGACTGATGGTGGACGATCAACATGTCATAAAGTCTAGAAACGAGCCGGTCTTATGCGACTTCTTCGAGACAACCGGCATGGGTGCGCGGACTGTGCAGGACTCGATCCTCCAGAACGGTCACCATACTGATGAATCTCAAGAGCCTCCGTGGTTCGAGATGAACGAGGTGGTGGACCCCCAAATGTTCTCTACGCTCGACGACCAAGCGCTGCAGGTGACTCACGTAAAAGTGGAAGCACCGGAAGCCAACAGTCCCGAGTACCAGTCGGTGGCCAGCCCCGGGCTGTACACACCGTCTTATTTGCATGTGCACTATCACCACCATGATCACCATCACCAACAGCATCACCACCATCACGGTTACTTCCCACGCGTGGCACCCATGACGCCTCCCATTTCTGAGCCAGGTTCGCCCGGTAAACGGCGGACGCCACCGCCACCGTATCCTACACCCCGCTGCAACACTATCCAAAGATCGATGAAGTTCAACAGACGTAACAACCCGGACTTGGAAAGGAGACGGACTCATCATTGTAATTTTGGCGGTAAGTACTAGTTGAAAATAATATAATATGAAACTATTCATGAAAACATTGATAACACAAATTGTACCCGCCTGCAGATTACGGTATTAATACCTATAAATATAATTGTATATACACAATCGTTAGATTACAGGGTTTACAGTCGTGTAGACATTGAAAAAATTGATTAATACTGATTGTTAATTTTCATTGTTTTAATTTTAGGTTGCAACAAAGGATACACTAAAAGCTCTCACCTAAAAGCCCACCAAAGAATACACACAGGTAATTTTATGTTTTTATCGTTCATATCTGCAGTATGCGTATATAGTTTTATATGATTCGTAGAATTTTCTCGGAATACCTGCCATTATACCTATTATATATTATATATAATGTATATATATACATGATATAATAAATCGAAACACCAAAAATACAACCCATTAGGGTTATCGGACGGCATCAAAAAGCATTCCAAAACCCATTACTACACATATACTGAAACATGAGTATAAAAATATACACGGTCTGTATATATATATATATATACGATTTATGTCTTATAGTGTTTTTATGAATGAACGTTATTATTATACATCATACCACCTCCCGCGTTAAAGGGTACCTATATCACTTCGCAGGCGCCGCTATTATAATGCTATTGGCATACGAAAAAACCTTTAGTCACACATACAAAAGCCTTTTTTGCTTTCAAACAACATAAAATCATCACAACCGATCGTTGTACCGTGTAATCAAATCGGACTTCTCAGGGACGACGCCAACGCGTGGCACCACTACATATTGTAACCCAGACAGTCTGCTGCTGGTGCTGCTGCGTTGCTGCAGTCACTTGTTCCGCTTAGTATATAATATGGTCTGTCCAGTCGCAATGTAAAGTGAAATTCCACTACGAAAAACAGAAATTTGATGCGTCCAGGTTATTAATATTATATTAGAACTTCAAATACACATAAAAATATTTTAAAATAACAACATTTCAGAAATAATATCATTTTATATATTTTAGATTTATATAAAATATTTTCTAATGAAAAATTTACCATAGCACGTGCAATATAATATTGTAAAAAATTTCAAAAGGCTGGAAATTTTGTTATTATTTCGAAAACATTCTTCTCTTAACATAATATATTATTATACCTACGTATAGATTTTGATTTTACCTATTGGAATACTCACTGCTATTGCTCGTATTAGATGAACGTGTGCGGCTATAGAAATTACGTATTCGCGTCTACTTGAATAACTATATTTTTTCTTTTTTCATAGACGTACGCAAACACGATTTTCTACTTTATATCTATTTGATACTGTCAAAAATATCATAAATCTTTTTAAACATTTTTTCGCTATTTTTCTTTTCATACGACGGCTATTGCCGTGAAATTTTCATGTAAAAAAAATATTTCTGAACCGAATGTTTTCCTCCTCCGATTAACCTCGTGGTCGGTCTTTAGTTAAATGTGTTTTTTCGGCACCTAGTTAGTCTGGATCCTAGATACGTAACATAATGTAATAGGTATATAATGTATGATGTATGTAATAACTTCCGCGTACACGGATGCTGCGGCTATTTAATTGGAGGTTTCGGACTCGTCGAAGTTAAATAAATCGCCTTCCGGCACTTGTCGAAGTGCTGTGTGCAGATTTTTTTTTTAATACCATTAAATTAAACCCTAACACGATTTTTGTAGTGTAATTATATTTGCTAACCGTTCTCGATGTGTAGATATTTTGATTATTTCGTTTATCCGTTTATTCGCTGCTGTCTCAGTATTCGCGTATAGTTACAAATTATCATACAATGTATTATAATAATAAATACATACACTATTAATCTATTACACCTACCTAAACCGCATTATTAAAATATACGTGATTCGGCTTTTTATCGATATAATAAGCACTCAATACACATCATAGACAAGTTCACAGACCGGCGAACAGAATGAATGTGCCAAATATTTCAAACTATATATTATGTATTTTAAGGTTACATCTTACGCATTGCAAATTTAATGTATATAAACGCACAACATACATGAGTCGAGTCGTTTCCTAAAAGTATTCGCATATTAATTCTAAAATAAAATATGTTGGTATTAGAATTATTAGATATGTATACCTATACTTAAATTTATCGATTTGCAGTTAATTGCGCGAGTAAATTTCGCGATTCGAAAAACCATCTGTTTTATATTCATTATAATATGACGATATTCGTGTTTATTTTTATTGTTATTTATCAGTGTCATAATGTTGTTTTAATAGTATTGACGGTCTCGTAACGTTATTTATCATCTGATAGGTATGTCGTAAAACGATTTTTATAGTTTAATATAATATACTTAAAAGTTATTAACAGTTGTTAATTTACGTATAAGAAAAAAGTCACTTCACCGTTACGATAAATTCCGCGATCGAACGGCTAGGCGTAAAATGTATATAGTATATATAAAATTATAAATAGGTACTCCGATAACCGTATCGCGTGTCGGTTTTTATTCCATTTCACGATATTTGACCTGATCGATTTCGGTCCACCGCCACCGTGGCTGCTCTACTTAATAATAACATTGTATAGATACCACTCTTCGTATAATATATTTTAATGCTTGCGCTTATTATACTCGTATATTTGTATATATTTTATATCGCGGGCAAAATGTCGTCCGAGGTCGCGGAAATCCGTTCAACGACGGCAGTGGCGTAGGGATGAGTCAGACAGGAGAAAGTCGCGCGAAGTAAATACTAATTACTATACGGTATAAACGTATTACAATACGATGATAATAACGTATGGCCGCGCCGCAGAACAATTATTATTATTGACCGAAAACCATTATAAACGCCAACGCCGCCGCGACGGGCCGACATTCGACAATCGTATACGATAATTATCACCGCAATAAACTATCGGATCGCGCGATTATTAGACACACTCGAACGTTATGATATTATTATGCAGATATTATTTTTATACACATAGATACCTAGTACCTACACAATATGCCGACGTCGATGACTCGGAGTAAAAAATGCGTCTAATTTGTGCGCTGTGTGCGTTTCTCTCCTCGTCTACTATTCCGCGTCAGCATTAGCGACAGAGCGCCTCGGGTCGGGTCGGGTCATGTGTGTGTGTGTATGTGTATATGCATATGTATAAGTATGTCGTGTAAAGTATATATAATAATAATAATAATAATAATAATAATAATAAATAATAATAATAATAAATAATAATAATAATGTGTAGTATAGTCGTCGTCGTCGTAGACGGTCGGTCGGTGTCGGAGAGCCGTCATATAGAGGTCCTCGACCCTGGGACGAGACAAAACGGTCTCTGCGTATACAAGACATAACGGCCATACATAGACGAATACAACAATAATAATAATAATAAAAATTATAATGTTACAATACCGACGCACGCGCGAGCGGACAATATTGTGTACGTCACATATTGATATTATTATTAAATAATATACATACATATGTATATACATAGTTATTATATGATGTGCATGCACAGTTAACGCATATTATGCGTATCGCGGGTCCCGAGACGGAGAAAAAAATTATCAAAACCGCTCGAGGCAATGACGGTTTTATATTTTCTTACCAATAGGTACACGGTGAGTAATTATAATAATAGTATGATTTTTACATTACTGACGGAGACAATACAAACACGAAAACAATATGACAAACACACACACACACACACACGGCACATCACACTCGTGGGCTATGATGGTACGCGCGTGTGCTGTACACGATATTGATCGCGTCGCGTATAGTCGGTATATAGTAATAATATAATGATATATACGCGTGTTTATTATTATTTTATAGCGTGGATCGGAAGCCGATAATTTTGGCATTGTGTATCGACGGCGTGCGTATGTATAATAATATATTATGCATAGGTAGGTACGTGATGTGGCCCGCGTGTAAGACACATAACCATTTTTTCTGCGCGGTTATTAACGGCATTCCAGCTACGTATACTTACGTATTCTCGCTTAATATTTGTATTATAATAATTATATTATGTACCTATTTGTATAGTGCCTCGGCCAGGATTATTTTCCTGCTAGAGTTCGATATGTTTCAATATACTTTGTGCGTTTCGTCCACTGAATCTGCTTGCAGTGCATACCTTGCATCGCGGTTGCCGCTGCACGCGATGATTATAATATCATACTATGGGTTATCGCAATCTTTTACCGTTTGCCGTTTACATCGATAAATAACAAGGTTTGAATAATGAGATTTCCGCTTAGTTTTTAGTCAATTTTATTACCGGGGCGGTAGGAGTGTAGGACACAATTTAATATGAATCATACGGTTCAGACGTCTTTGTATCGCCTGCATGTAGATGACAATATTTTCGAAACGAAATATTATGTCATGTACAGAGAATTTAAGCGATATGCTGTATCGAAGAGTAAAGGTTCACTTTTTGGTGAAATTTTGTAGGCTCTATTGTAGAAAGAATATATTATGATTTATGAGATATCAATAATTGTGAAGTAATAGCTTGACTTGGTCTTAGACCTGTAGGATTACGTATATGACCATAATACATTGCTCCGAGAAAACTTTTAGGAAATACATGTTTATTTATGTCGCCGGTTTGTCACGGAACCCTTTTGAGTATATATCTGCGCAGGCGGAATCATGATAATACCGCGTCAGAAACGTAATTCGACGCGATGTCGTAAAGTGAATCACCTGAGAAGTGGACCGCCGGGTTTCCATATAATACTATATATTTATTGTATAAGTGGAACAAAATACCACTTATGATTTGATAATTTTTCAATAACAATAATAATACTATTTTCAGTGATTGTTAATCGTTAAATTATGCTCAATGATTTTAAAAACTATGCAATTCGTATACAAAAATCGGTATATTCAATTATTATAAACGTAATATATTTTGTAGATATACCACTTCGTTCACCTCTATCGATATTATCATTTTTAATATATTAGTTTGTAAATCTATATACGATTTTTATTATTATTATCATTATTATATCTCGGTATACCGCTGTATAATATCTCGATCTGGATGGATGGATAAGTCTATTATAATAACCTATATAATACAACCGTATTATGCATAATATATATGCATAAATACATCATTAAACGCATGTAATATAGTATTAATATGTTTTGATGATCCGGCCGTTTTAATAAATTCCATTTTAAACGATGTAAGGTTGTCGGTGTACAGTTCTATA